AATAGTGATATTTTATAAGAATATAAAAAACAATAAAAAAATTTAATTTATTTACTTATTATGAATTAGTAAAAGAAATTGATAGGTTGTAGTCACAGAAATTGACAGTTATTTGGTCATCACATTCCAAGTCTTTTGTTAGATCACAATTTATGGAAAGAAGTGATAAATTATTTAGTCGATGGTTCGACATTGTTGTCCTATATTTATTTTCTACATAGGACATCTTGGAGAAAGAGCGTTCTGCTTCACAGCTAGTGATTGGCAATGTTAAAAAAATCTTTAAAACGGTATAGCAGTTGGTGAACACGTTAATAAGTTTATTTTCATACATGAGCATAAAAATGTCACTGCAAGAGGTGTAAGACTCAGACATAGGTTGGAGTAAGTAAGATTTTAATTGAATGCACTCATTCACTAAATGCTCGTCTACGGGATAGTAATCAATAATATGACGTGTAATTTCCAAATCTATGTTTTTGATATTTTTGTCTTGCAAATCCATTAAAAATTTGATTTTTTTGCTATATGTCTCATAGACTTGTCTCCTTTTATTTAAATCCATAATCAGCTTATCCAACGCAACTTTTAACGTGTCTCTTTAAATCTTAGTTAGAATTCACCTGTAGACTTATCTGAAAATTTTGGGATAATGCGTCTCTTGTTTATGTAATTGTAGTCTATTATTACACTAGTACTTAATTTTTAGCTTTTTCGTCGTATTCCTGTAACATTTGATCTGATTGATGTTCTATGTTGCTCACAAAGTCTTTTAAAGAAACAATTAACTTGTTGCCTTCACAAATGTCTAAACCAGGGCTCTGTATTTTTTTATTAACTAAATGAAATCTCTCCAAAACTTCTTCCAAAAAGATAATCAAAATTGCAGTCTCGAGTTTCGCCATTTTATTGAATAAATTTCGTGCCTCTTTCCGAAATCAACTTTCTCAACCTCATTTTCGCTGAAACTTTGAAAATTTTCATAATGTCATCATAATTTTTTTTAAGGCTTTGACAGCATCATAGTGGCAAGGCCATCTTGTCTGGCTTAAACTTTTAACCTGAATTTTAATTTTATTTCACGATTCAACAGTTCCCACCTATGGGTCTATTGTTTTTCGCGGAGCCTGGGGGCCCCTTGTAACCTCGGGGCCCTGGGCTGCAGCCCAAACAGCCCGTAGGTAGATCCGGCCCTGTGCAAGGGAGATTAATAAATGATACTTTAACAGCGAGGATAGGTTAAAAACTTTATTTCTTATCGCACATTTTTTAATTACTTCCATTTTTGAAAATTTTTGTATTTCTTTTTCATAAGTTATTCGGGATTTAAATGGAAGTAGTTTGGATATGGCGTTTGTCGCCTCAGCCTGAATATCTGTTGGTAATTTACTTATTTCGTTTCGAGCCATTTCTGGCTTCAATTCAATCAGCAATCAACACGAAAGAGAATTAAAAAATATTGACTCAAAACTGACAACTAAAGAGGCAGCTTTATTTATTTGTCAAATTACATAGAAACCAATGCCAACCCAGCACAATATTTTTTCTACTCGTAATAAATTTCTTGAAATAATAATTTCTGAATATTTTTTAAAACGCAACTCGCTATGGAAAAAAATATTGTTTTATACACGACGATAAAATTGCATTATCGTCTCCCGAAATTAATTCATTAATCTTTTCGGTCGACGATAAAATACCATTTTATCGTCTTGTATAAAAAATAACTAAATATAGTTTAATACTACGGGAAGCACATTTACAATGCCTCCTATGTGACACCGATTGCTCGTTTCTACCAGTTACGAATTGCACTGCAGCAAAATGCACTCCAATCCTTCATCGGGCACGCGTTTTAACTTACAGCGTGTTTTGATTGTTTTGGTTAGGTATGTTTTGGTTTGGTTTGTTGGTTTATTTTTGTTTATTTTCATTTTTTTTTTTTCGGTACGGTATTAACTACAGTCTAAGTTACATTATCTACTAGGTTAAGTTCATACCTACACAAGAAAAGAGGGTAAATGACGCCCAGGATGACGTCATAGCAGATTTTATTTAATAACTTTAATTTCATAATAATTTTTTTAACAATAATTTCATTTAATAAATCATATTTAAACGTTATTTTGAATTGTTTTAATGCTTAAATTTATACTTGGTTTAGCTATATTAACACTACACTATTAACGCAAAAATGATAGCTGATTGGTTTAAAAAACTGGAAAATTTATAAACCGTATAGAAAAAAATTGCTCTATCTCTATTACTATTTATTTTAGAGAAAAAATGATTGAAAGTAAAATATTCTAAATTTAATTCTCTACAAAAAACATATCTTTAGTTTTTTCGAAAAAAGTGATGCAAACGGAGATATTTAAAAAAAAAATCCAAGATGGCGGCGTTTTTTTCTCAAACTTCCCGCACTGGGACCGAATGGGAGTTTTGAGGGGTTAAATAGGATATCATTATCTACATATTCCCCTTGAGATTGGTTGGTTACTAATTTTTTCCACCTTTACATATAATACTCGGCTACGTTTACTGGCCTAAACTGGTAGAGACGAGCTTTAACAACAGCAAAAAATATAACGTTAATCAAAAGTAATAATAATCATCTATCAAAGAAAGAAATGGAAATTATATAATCATAGAAACGTCTTCTTATATTTTTATGTTTTTTTTTATTTTTCTAAAACCATATGGAAATTTGGAAAAGTATAAACGGATTAACCATTTTCGAAACAAGCAAATATTTTTATAAAGAATGCATTTTCTCAAAATATCAGTAATAAAAAAGTGTTTCCTCTTGTAAAGACCGGGGACATACTGTATATTAGCGGTTGGTTGAAAGAATTTTGAAGGAATTTCTTCAATCAACGATATCAGGTTATAGACAGGAGTGGTTATAGAGGAACATTAAAGAAAATAAAAACGATTAAAACATCCAAGATCAAAAACAATTTTTATTTGCTTTTTTTTAAACATTTATTGTCATATAAATATCTGATATTTTTGAACACTTGGATATACAAAAAATACGGATGAATACTTCAAACGCTCGATCATATTTTACTAAATATATTTAAGGAAAATAAATATTATCTAAATAAGTATTTATTCAATTCAGTCAACTTTCTAACCTTATTTTTACAATTTCTAAAAAACATAAACTTATGAACTCAGTCTTGTATTTTAGTGCCTGATAACCTCGATGGTTTAAGATATATACAATTTGATGTTAAGTTTGAAATGTCAGATGTTAAGAGGCTTAAAACAAGTGATAACACCTACCTTTAATTTAAAAATAATAAATGTTTATTAGAGAATGAATTGAAAACCAGCTGGAATGTATTTAAGGTATGCAATAATTTATTTTAAATTTTGAATGTAGAATGGAATAGTTGAGCTATAAATAGAGAGGATTGATCATGGAATGCAAGTCTCTCAAATGAGATATATATATGTCTAGCGCAGACTGAAAATTTAACAACAAAAAACAAATGCACGTATTTATAAAAACATGACAAACTAATTTCCAAAATACGTTCTATATTTGTCATATTCTCTAGAATTGTATTATTAGCAGCAAGGCAAACATATATCCATAGGATATTTAAATCTTCTTAAGAATATCTGAACTAAATTTTATAATAATTTTTATAAATATTACTGAAAATACTTTTATTATATTTAGACAGTTCTATTGCCCTATTATCAATGACAATTTTTATAATATTTACATATTTTTTTAATGATATGCGATGTTAAATAAATTAAAAATATATAAAATATTACTAAAAGATATATAAAATATTAGACTATGAAAAAGACGTTAACATTGTTCCCAAAAATGTTACCAAATTATACTGAATTAATTCTCGTAAACTTTGTTATTAGTTATATTTTTAAAGTAATTTAAAGAAGCTTTTATAGCACATTCAAATATCTAACTAACTGATAATGATGTGGCAGTTAAACTTTTTTTTTAAGTGCTTAATTTTGATATTTTGGTCCAAAATTTTATTCAAATGTAAAAAAATTAACTTAAATGATTAAAATTTATAATCACTACTTAACTAAAAGGAACTTCTATAATACTGAGCATTCTAAAAAACCGACTGATATCTATATATTGTTGATACTTGTGTTTGGCACAGACTTATTGTCTTGGAGTTTAAAAATTGTGTTGTAGTCATTGCAGTCACTATCCAATAAAAATTTATATTTATTTTCTATGATAACTTTCATCTGCAAAGTTTATGATAACGATAGGGAAAGTCTAGCTCAAGCGAACATATTGTAAAATAATTTAATTTTCTTTTGTTTATTTACGAAGACCTACAAGATCTTCAGTTACTTTTAAGAATAATTAAAAATAATCAATGAAATAATAAAATAACTAATGAGTAAGATCATGAAAACCAAACAAACTAATAAAATTATATAATATAAAGCAAAGAGAAAACACTAAAAATTGTAGCAAAAACTAAAAAGAAAATGTATAAGAAAATTTATGTATGTGGTAACAGATTCAAAAATAGGTTGCCATAAATAATCCAAAACTAAACTACAGTCAAAATAAAACTGCCCAGAAAAAAATTCAAATTTTTTTTTGGTTTTCTTGGTTTATTTGAAAATTAATAAATATATCTGAAGATATAAGTCATATAGATAGTTTACAAACTAGTTTAAATGTTATCTAGACTTTCCCTATGTACATAATATGATCATATAAAAATAACATTACAGTAAGAGTAGAAATGACATATCATAATGAGCTTTGCTATATCTATCACTGAAGTTCTTTTAACAACAGTGATTCTGTTAATTGTGAAAGTTTTTATTAATATTTAAAATTACAACATACAAACTGTTGTTATTTGTATTTCCTTTAGCAATTATACAGGGTGAATCTTCAATAAGTGCAAATATTTCTTGGGGCTGGTAGATTTCGATAAAAGAAACGTATTTTCTCTTTACCGTTTTTCAAATAAGTCCAAAATAAACGTTTTAGAATGTTTTAGAAAGTTTGAGAATTTAAAAAAAATTGACGTGCGCGACTCCGAAAATTGGAACCACGAAAAACAATGCTTTTGACGATAAGTTTATAATCTGTATAATCTGTGAACGTACTTTAGTCGTGTTCCTAGGCTCAAAATATACCACCCCTAAAATTATTTGCACTTATTTAAGACTCACACTGTATATGTATCATTCAATTGCAATTTATTTAACGTTTAAAATGGTAAAGTTTAAATTGAATTGTTATTTCTGTGTCTACATAGCATAGTTTTTATTAGATCATACGGTATGTAGTTTTTCATGGCATAAGCGTATTCTCCTATAATTTAAAATTAAAAAACACCAAACAACAACAATATTCATCCATATTTTTTTTATAAAACACAACAATTTGAGCCAATTACAGGTCGGCTTTTTTCGATTTTCCCAACACCAGCAGGAACTTTTGCAAAGAGACTGTTATACTATCGAAGAAGTTCTGCAGCCACCATGGTTTCGGTTTCCAAGATATGCAAACGAAGTAGACCGGTACCGATGAAAAAATCATTAGGAAACCCATCCCTGTTTCGTAAGGGCTGGCCACTATTGGTACTACGGTAACAAATACCGTAGCTATGAGATAGATGACGGGCCAGATGAGGTGTACTTTGATGGGTCTATCCAAGTCAGGTCGCTTCCATCGAAGCCATGGGAGGCAAAGAACTGACACACCTATACTAAGCTAAAAAAGACAACAGCGCCTAAAACATGAAACAGGGTACGTTATAGCGGAAACGGTGCGGGAAATAACAAGATTTTCCGGATTTACCATAACCAGGACGGAAGGCGTGGGGGTCAGCCTTTTCTCCTGGATCATGGTGAGGATTTCCGGCATTTGTCCGTTGCACGCGCCAGCATAGAACAATCTAGAAAAAATGACGAAGTCGTATTTTAGCATTTTGAGATATGAAATCTAGAGGTGGGAATTCTAGTTCCTTGGGAGGAACTAGTTCCTTGGTTCTAGTTCCTCCAGAGGAATAGTTCTTTGAACTAGGTCTTTAGTTCACAATAGTTCCCGACTAACATTGACATCCCCGTTGCTTGCTAATGGGTTTCGTTGTCAGTCAGAACTATTCACAGTATGACCTGTATACTTTTTATAATGAAGGTACGAAATATAACGAGACGTGTAATTGCGTATGTTAAAAACATATAGGTAAGTTTTATTGCAAATAAAAAAAATAAAAAAGAAACTCAAATTAGAGTTTAATAAACTATATCACAAATCAGTTGGAGCAAATAATACGAAAATTTTACGAAAAATTGCATTTTTCCTCACTTCAAGCTTTTTGTTTTTGTTTAAAAATTCAGAATATCTACTTCGTTTTATACGATATTTCTTAATTTTAGGGATCTAAAGTGAACCATTCCCATAAAATATTCAAAGAACAAACTAAAAATCAAAAACAGTATCCACGGCAATTATCACAGGTCACAGATCCCGGAATAGGTCCTGAAGAACTAGTTCTTTGAGAAATACAGGACTAGTTCCTTTCATTCCGGGGTCGGAATAGTTCATTGGAACCAGTTCGTTCACGAACTACACAGCTCTAATGAAAACTAAAAGAATTTCAGACTCCCATTTTCTTTCTTTATTTTTAAAGAACGTTTCATGTAGACGTATCACTGACCGTTGACAAGTGTGAACTAATCTAAATCCTAAAACTACTGAGCTTATCTTATACAGGGTGTTTCAAAAAACATGTGCCATCGCTCGTGGGGAGATTCCTCGCTTAAAAATAAGATTTTTTATATCAACATAGGTCCGATTCTGCTTTGTTTCGTAGCTACAGTTGGTTTGGAGTTTAAAGTCTTATTTTTTCCGGTTTATTATAATTTTCTTCCGAGTGCTTTTAGCAATTCGAATGAAATTTTGAGAGTAATAGTTACTATAAGTGTTACATATTTTAGTACTAAAGAGGTGTTTTTGATGGCTTCAAAATGGTTTAACTGAGAATTTAAATACTGCTTCGTATGTGTGTCTATATACAGAAGTAATAATGGATCCATCGTTTCTACGAATAAGAATATCCAAAGAAGTAGACAAAAGTTTTTCTCTTTCTCAATCGTAAATCTGATGCAGTTGTGTGAGTAAATATAAATAAAGACAATAGAAGTCCAAAATTCTTTTAGTTTCAATACTGAATCATTGTCTAGCACCTTCAAAGAAATGTTGAAGTATACAGGGTAGTCCGAACTGTATTCCGGAAACTTGTCCGGCAGCATGTTCTGCACATAAAAATAAGTAAAAAAAATCCTATAAACTTATGTCGCAAAATGGTTCATTTCGGAGATACAGGGTTTAGAAGTTTTTATTTCAATTTTTTCAAATTGAAAATTGGTATCTGGGGGTTTTTAACATGAGAAATTTAATTTCGATGTCAATATAATATAATGCTACTTGTAGGTAGCCCCCTACATATTTTTTTACTTTTTTGAAGAGTAATAACTTTTCGTCCGTCCCTGATGTATTACATTATTGAGTGAAAAAATATACATTTACGCCTTATTTTACGTAAAACATGTTTCTGGGTAAAAATCGCTGTGAGCAATCGTTCTCAAAATATTTGGAATGGAAATAGTCAATACATGTCATAATTGACAAAAATTATACAAGTTGACTGGATAGTTATTAGTCTGAAATAATAAATTTGCAATGTTTTTGTTCCAAAGATTTAACAGAAACTGTTTTATCATATTTTTTTCTAGAAAAATTCATGATTAGTTTAAAAAAAGAAAAAAAATCTTTTTTTTATCATCTACTCGTATAGTCAACGCATATTTATTTTTTGTCAATAATGACATGCGTTGACTTTTTTCATTCCAACTATCGTGAAAATGGTTGCTCATAGTGATTTTTACCAAAAGGCATGTTTTACGTAAAAAATTACGGAAATGTATATTTTTTCACTCAATAGTTTTATACAGGTACGGATGAAAAGTTATTATTCTTCAAACCAGTTAAAAAATATGTAGGTGGTTCCCTCTAATTTCTCATGTTAAAAAGCCCCCAGATACTAATTTTTATTATATTTATTATTTTTATTCATTTCAAATATCGAATTTAGTTCAGAACTTATTAAGAAAAAATCGAAATAAAAATAAAACTTCTACACCCTGTATCTCCGAAAAGAAGCATTTTAGGACATACATTCATACAAACTTCTTTACTTTTTTTATACGCAGAATATGCCGGCGAAGTTTCCGGAATACAGTTTCGAGCACCCTATACAGGGTGTCCCAGAAATAAGTGCAAATATTTTAACTGGTGGTATAGTTCAACCCCAGAAACACGCCCATAAGTTTTTTTTCGCGAAAAAAAAATTTTGAAAATTCGAAATTTTTTGAAAAATTTTTTTGAAATTTTTTTAGTTTTTAGTTAAAAAACATAATTTCTTGATAATATGGCAACATAGGTGTTAGATTAAATTTACATAGCAAACGTCACTGCTACAGCTTTAGAACCCAATATCTCTATCGGCGATAGAGTGCTAAAGAATGCAACGTTTGTCAGTACGTACACTACCGTCACTAGTGTACAAGATATAGCTATGGCCAAAGGAAGATTTCTAATAAAACAATAAATTATTTTAGTCTAAATTTTAAATACCTTTGAAATAATTATCTTAACATACCGTACTGGATCTTTTAATTCTTCTATAATAAAATTCAGGTAGTTCCTAAAATAATGTTGAAATCATGCAAGATTGTTTTAGTATTTTTAGCCATCTTACCAGCCATTGTAAGCAAATAATCCAGAATAAAACGAAAGAGCCAATGATGTTACTTCTGTGTTAGTATTTTTAAAGGTAAAGTGTTCCATATGCCCTGAAACAAACATATAATTTATTATCTATTAATTAATTAACCCTAAACCATTTTATGGATAAGCACAAGGAATTCAATTAATGCAAAAAGAATAACCTATTATAATAATTATAAGTACCTAATACTAATTGTTGGCCGTCAAAATTATTTAACAAAATCTCTAAAATATTGGTAATCAAAATATATGCTATCAAAAGATGTTGATCAACTATTAATATAAAATAGGTACTTATTTGTTTTTGCTAAAGAACCAACCCCAAAATGTTAAAAATAGGCTAAATCTACAATCAACATCTATATCTAACAATTTATTACCTGTAAAAAGTTGATATCCACCAGCAGCTATAATAATAAACAACGCCAGCAGTTTGGCGTATGTAAATACATCCTGTACTCTCGTAGCCCATTTCACATCATAACAATTCACAAAAGTCAATACACCTGAAACAATATAAAACAAAAAAACTTTAATCAAAAGTCAGTAAAATCTTGTTTCTAAAAGACAAACACCATAGGAAAAGTAAAATAAAATTTTACTTTAGTAATCGAAAAAGGATTAGGTTGCCGAATGACGTAAATCTTTATTCGAACTGACATTTTCAGCAAATCTTGTTTCAAATGACATTTCAGCAAGCCTCTTCGAATTGGAACTGATGTTTTATTTAAGCTCTTTTATTGACAGTGTATCTGGATATACGTTGCTTACTTAATGGTTGTTACAGAATGGAAGGCATCAATTTGTGCCAAAGAGATTTAAAGTTTTTTCTTTGTTTAAAGAAGAAATATTAGTATGTATTTTACATAATTTTTTATGTTATGATACACAATTATATTTCGTCAATACTTTACTTTTTTTGCATTTATCTATATTAGATTTCATTAAAAATACTTTAATATCTATATTCAGTATCTGAGACGGTTTTACAGAGATTAGTTCTCCATCTCCGATATCCTTCCTTATTTATATTTGAATCCGTTTGCCTAATACGTAAACATGTATCAGCTTCTCAAGAAAGGCCATCTCACACTTATCCACTCAGGAACGCGGAGCAAGATCTTTATTTACCTACCCCACGCTCAGAGTTAGTTAAAAGTTCAATATTATACAATAGTCATTACAATTGTAACTTAGGAATAAAAAGTTTTTCATTAAAATACGTTACAACAAATTAATAAAACAAAACAAAAATACTACTTACAATTAGAGTCAAATTTTACAAAAAAAAACATACAATAATGTAAAATAAACTACTTTGATCTACAAACCACCATTGACAACGTACGTATATAAAATAAACATGAAGTGTATTAATATCAAATTCTTTCGCTTTAGTGAAGAGCGAACGCTCCAAGAAACAAACAACTAAGAAAAAAATTTATAAAAAGATTGTAAACTGCATATTTGCAGGCATCGCATCCCATCTTATTTTTGCTGCTATATTTAAATGTATGTGTGTTATTTTATTTAATTGATTTATAATTCCCTTAATAAATTACAATATATGGAACTAAGGCTGTCAATATCCGATCTTGAATTTATAGAGTTTTTGTTGTTATTAATGTGAACCATTTCCAAAAAAATTCTTTTTCGGAAATTGCCTTCCTGTTCCAGTATAGATGCACTGTCGTAATCAAATTGATGATCTTGGTTCTGAAAATGAATAGCTAGTGCACAAGACTTTTTTCCGAGACGGCAGTCACTCTTGTGTTGCGTAATCCTCTGTTTAAGATTTTGTGATGTCTGGCCTATATAACATTTATCGCATTGCAAACACGGAATATTATAAACAATATTACTCCTTTGCAATATTGGTACCCTATCCTTAGTCCTAGAGAAGCAATTTTTAGATGTTAACGAATTATATTTAGCAATTCTAATATCATATTCTTTTAAATATGAAATAATGTTATCTGTTAAGTTCTGTATGTAAGGTAATTTTTTATAAACAATATTCAAACCCTCCGTGGTCTTTGTTGGTGTATACGGTTTACTTGTATTATAAATTAGTTTTCGTAATATATTTTTTGGATAACCATTATTAACGAATATATTAAATAACTTATTTAAATTTTCTTTATGAAAACATGCATCTGATATATACAATATCCTGTTCTTTAAGGCGATAATTGTATTATATTTCTGACTAGTAGGATGGTTTGAATAATAATTGATATATCTTTCTGCATCTGTGGATTTTTGATACCAGTCTGTTATAATGGAATTAGAATTTGTTCTTATTATTCTTGTGTCCAAAAAAGGCACACCGCCATTGTTTTCAGTTTCTACTGTAAATTGTATGTTGTTATTAATCGAATTAAAAATTTCTAACGTGTTATCAATTTGATCTCGTGGAACAGAAGTAACTAAGTCATCAACAAACTTGCAGATAAATGGAAGTTCAAAAGGTAACCGTGACTTTATTTTGTCCAATAAATAATCCATCACAATCAAAGCTAATATAGGACTAATTGGAGAGCCCATAGGTGTCCCAAAAATCTGTTGGTAAAACTTACCCTCAAAAGAAAAATGACAGTTATTAAAAACAAATGATAATAGTTTCAAGAAGCTGCTTTTTGTTAACGTGGTGTTAATTTCAATTTCTTGCCAGTATATTTCTATTATTTCTAAAACTAAATTGTATGGTATATTAGTAAACAGAGAAACAACGTCAAGTGAAACCAACACATAATTCTCTGGTAGTTGTTTATTTTTTACTCGATTTACAAACGAGAATGTATCTCGTACGTTATAGTCTGTTCTAGTTGACATAGATAGTGTTAAAATATCAGAGAGAAACTTAGCTAAGTTGTAGGTAGCTGATCCTATAGAACTTACAATTGGTCTTAAAGGTACATTCTGCTTATGTATTTTTGGTAAACAGTACAATTTGGAACAGATGGATTTGTAAATTGTCAAATTTTTTGCTGTTGTTTCACTCATTTCGTTTTCCGATTTAAGCTTTTTTATGATATCATTGAGATGTCTCTGTGTCTTGATTGTTGGATCACTATTTACAGATCTATAGGTGTTGGAATCACTTAAAAGTTGATAAGTCCCGGAGATATAATCAGTCTTGCTCATAGCCACAGTACACCCACCCTTGTCTGCTTGCAATATATATATAAATTAGGACACTGTCTTAAAAACTTTTTTGTTATTAAATATTGTTTCTGAATAAAAGTCAATTTACAAAAACGTGTTTGATTTTGAAAATTCGTAATATTGTTAGTAATTTTAGCTCTGAGAATATTTTTATTTTCATCAGGTATTTCGTAAATTATATTTTCGATATCTGCCAAATAGTGCCCCACATTCATATTTAAACCAATTGGTGAGATACCAAATTTTGGGCCTAGTGAAAGAAAATCTACAACATCCTTTGGTATATCTATATCTGTTAAATTTTTAAACCATTTTGAATTGTTCAAGAACAGTTCACTTTTATTATTATTGGATAATTTAAGATTATTAAAATTTTTTAAATTACAAGTTTTAACTTTTTTAAATCTTCGTTCATAAGCCGATCTTAATCTGTCCGAATACTCATTAAAAATATCTATAGGAAGAATGCTTTCTAAATCTTGTTGTATATCATTAATTGTCAATTTGATCCATTTTATATTGTTATAGCATGATTTTATTTCTAAATTAAGATTCTTTTTACTTAACTTTAATATGTGTCTCCGCATTTCTTCATGTACTTGCCAACTAGTCGTCTGTAGTAAACTTTCCATTGCTTTTGTTGTGTTTTTTATATGTCGGGGCAACGTATTAGTCCTTCGACATCTCAGTAAGAAGTTTCTTCGGTTTACATTGTTCGCCAATTTGATATTTAAAGATGACCATTTTTTCATTGACACAGCAGTCTGTTTACCCATTTTGATCGAAATTTCTTGATAAAATCCCATCTTCATTATATTTGTTAATTATTCTCGACCGTACGATTTAATAAATGTGGTATAATATCGGGAAGCGGTCTGTTTCAATTAAACTCACTTTAATCTAAATAGCTCTATATTTCGACATCATTTATGTCTTCATCAGGAGCATCAGCTAAAAACAATAGTCATTACAATTGTAACTTAGGAATAAAAAAAAGTTTTTCATTAAAATACGTTACAACAAATTAATAAAACAAAACAAAAATACTACTTACAATTAGAGTCAAATTTTACAAAAAAAAAACATACAATAATGTAAAATAAACTACTTTGATCTACAAACCACCATTGACAACGTACGTATATAAAATAAACATGAAGTGTATTAATATCAAATTCTTTCGCTTTAGTGAAGAGCGAACGCTCCAAGAAACAAACAACTAAGAAAAAAAATTATAAAAAGATTGTAAACTGCATATTTGCAGGCATCCCATCTTATTTTTGCTGCTATATTTAAATGTATGTGTGTTATTTTATTTAATTGATTTATAATTCCCTTAATAAATTACAATATATGGAACTAAGGCTGTCAATATCCGATCTTGAATTTATAGAGTTTTTGTTGTTATTAATGTGAACCATTTCCAAAAAATTCTTTTCGGAAATTGCCTTCCTGTTCCAGTATAGATGCACTGTCGTAATCAAATTGATGATCTTGGTTCTGAAAATGAATAGCTAGTGCACAAGACTTTTTCCGAGACGGCAGTCACTCTTGTGTTGCGTAATCCTCTGTTTAAGATTTTGTGATGTCTGGCCTATATAACATTTATCGCATTGCAAACACGGAATATTATAAACAATATTACTCCTTTGCAATATTGGTACCCTATCCTTAGTCCTAGAGAAGCAATTTTTAGATGTTAACGAATTATATTTAGCAATTCTAATATCATATTCTTTTAAATATGAAATAATGTTATCTGTTAAGTTCTGTATGTAAGGTAATTTTTTATAAACAATATTCAAACCCTCCGTGGTCTTTGTTGGTGTATACGGTTTTACTTGTATTATAAATTAGTTTTCGTAATATATTTTTGGATAACCATTATTAACGAATATATTAAATAACTTATTCAAATTTTCTTTATGAAAACATGCATCTGATATATACAATATCCTGTTCTTTAAGGCGATAATTGTATTATATTTCTGACTAGTAGGATGGTTTGAATAATAATTGATATATCTTTCTGCATCTGTGGATTTTTGATACCAGTCTGTTATAATGGAATTAGAATTTGTTCTTATTATTCTTGTGTCCAAAAAGGCACACCGCCATTGTTTTCAGTTTCTACTGTAAATTGTATGTTGTTATTAATCGAATTAAAATTTCTAACGTGTTATCAATTTGATCTCGTGGAACAGAAGTAACTAAGTCATCAACAAACTTGCAGATAAATGGAAGTTCAAAAGGTAACCGTGACTTTATTTTGTCCAATAAATAATCCATCACAATCAAAGCTAATATAGGACTAATTGGAGAGCCCATAGGTGTCCCAAAAATCTGTTGGTAAAACTTACCCTCAAAAGAAAATGACAGTTATTAAAAACAAATGATAATAGTTTCAAGAAGCTGCTTTTTTTAACGTGGTGTTAATTTCAATTTCTTGCCAGTATATTTCTATTATTTCTAAAACTAAATTGTATGGTATATTAGTAAACAGAGAAACAACGTCAAGTGAAACCAACACATAATTCTCTGGTAGTTGTTTATTTTTTACTCGATTTACAAACGAGAATGTATCATTTATTAAGGGAATTATAAATCAATTAAATAAAATAACACACATACATTTAAATATAGCAGCAAAATATGCTGCTATATAATATTTTTATAATTTTATAATTTTTTTTCTTAGTTGTTTGTTTCTTGGAGCGTTCGCTCTTCACTAAAGCGAAAGAATTTGATATTAATACACTTCATGTTTATTTTATATACGTACGTTGTCAATGGTGGTTTGTAGATCAAAGTAGTTTATTTTACATTATTGTATGTTTTTTTTGTAAAATTTGACTCTAATTGTAAGTAGTATTTTTGTTTTGTTTTATTAATTTGTTGTAACGTATTTTAATGAAAAACTTTTATTCCTAAGTTACAATTGTAATGACTATTGTTTTTTAGCTGATGCTCTGATGAAGACATAAATGATGTCGAAATATAGAGCTATTTAGATTAAAGTGAGTTTAATTGAAACAGACCGCTTCCCGATATTATACCACATTATATATATATATATATATATATATATATATATATATATATATATATATATATATATATATATATATATATATATATATATATATATATATATATATATATATATATATATATATATATATATATATATATATATAAACGGGGTTTGGTTTAAGTATTTAATAGCAGCTAAACAGCCTATTGCTGCCTTCCCGTTACCCTACGCCACACATCTCGATTTAGAGCGTCATCAGCTTCTAGGTTACGAGCTTCCATTGCTTCCGTAACCGTTCCGTTCCAGGATTTTCTACGTCTACCTCTCTTTCTTCTGCCCTGGGAGCCCATTGAAAAACTCTTTTTGGCCACCTGTTCTCCGGCATACGCAGAACATGTCCAAACCGTTTTAAGCTGGATTTTTCGATTCGATCCAGTACTGTCTCCTCCGATGCATTCATGATACGCCTGACCTCGATGTTTGTCTTTTTTTTTTTCCATCCTAGATATACCTGCACTTCTTCTAAGGTAGTCCATTTCAACAACTTGGATTTTGCGCTTCGCGTCTGCACTCAGAGTCCACAGCTCTGAACCATAGCAAAGAACTGACTCCACCAATGTTCTTCCAAGTCTCTTTTTAGTTGTTGCAGATAAGTTTCGGTCCCACCAGAAGCTGTTAAGACATCCAATAACTTGTTTGTTCTTCTGAATTCGGGTTTGTATTTGTTCTTTGCCCAAACCCTCGTTGTTGATAGTAGCACCCAGGTATTTAAATTTGTCTACTTGTTGAATCTGGACGTTATCATTAATGAAGACTTCAAAACAAGCGTTGGAATTGACAGCTAAGTATTCGGTCTTCTTTAGACTAACCTGAAGTCCCCATTTGTTGTATTCTTGATAAAGCCTCTTAGTCATGAACTCTAGATCGTATGAGTCCTGCGCAATCACGACCTGATCGTCTGCAAAGTTCAGGGTAAATAGTGTGTTGTCCCCAATGGGTATTCCCATACCTTGACATTTCGTCTTCCATTCCCTAAGGGCTACTTCGACGTAAGCGTTGAAGATCAGAGGAGATAAGCTGCATCCTTGTCGCAACCCTTTTGTGGTGTTAATTGGATTAGATAGCCTGTGTCCTATCTTAACGTACGATTCATTTTCTTTATATAGCTCTTTTATTATCTTAAGCAAAGGTCTATCTACTTCTAAGATATTCAATACTTCCCATATCTTGCTGCGGGGAATAGAGTCGTACGCTTTCTACAAATCAATAAATGCTAGATGGACTTCTTGATATACTGCTATCTTTTTTCCATCACCTGCTGCAGGACAAAAGGTTATCTGTGCAAGATCCCCCGGTGTGAATCCGCTTTGGTCTTCCGAGATTTTGTCACCAATACTGTCCCTGAGCCTACCCTGCAGCACCTTTCCAAAAAGTCTGCTGACCGAACTGTTAATGCTTAGGCCTCTATAACAAGTGAGGTCGTTACGATTCCCTTTTTAAAGATGGACACTATGTGAGCCACTCGCCATTCTCGGGGTAGTTTACTTTGCAGGCAGCACTGGTTAAATAGCTCTGCCAGACGCCAGCGCAGTCTTTGGGTTCCACACTTTAACAATTCGGCTACAATATTACGAGGACCTGGTGACCGTCCATTTTTCATTCTTTTGAGACTTTGATGTACTTCTCTTTCGCTTATCATTAAAGTGCCTGCAAGGTTGTTCTCATCTTCTACTGCTTGGAATTCTGGTCGGTTTTCTGTCACTAATTCTGCATAGTAGTTGCGCCATTTTTCTATATCCATTCTATTCAAGAGCTTGTCCGTTTGACTGGTTTTCATTTGTCGGATTGTTCTCCATACCTCAGTACTCCGTGCGCCACCTATTAGGCTTTCCACTTGCTGGCACCTTCTTTCCCAAATATCTGTTTTTCCTACCTTAATGGCGGCTCGTACCTCTCGATTTTCTTAAAAATACTTTAATATCTATCTCTAGTGTCTGAGCCAGTATCCGAGACGGTTTTACTAACCAGTTCTGGTCCAGTTAGTGGACCAGAACGAAAGACCATTTAGATTAATAAAAATATATCTAATTTATGCCTATATCTATTTTTATGGTATCTTAAATACCCATAAACTATTTTTGCCCATATTTTGACATAAAATACTCGTATATGCGCCACCGCATAAAATCTTATCTATATTAAATGGTCTACTTACAAATGCAGCATGCGGCTAAAAGTCTGGCAGCGTTGTCCGGTGGATCGCACTCGATAAAAAGCGGTTTCATCACGTACTGACTAAACGTTAAAGCTACGATCGCCTGTGAACACGGCCTTACGATCAAGCACTCGATCCAGAGTCGGATAAAGGCGACGAAAGGTCCGAAAGTGTCCATTATGTAGGCGTAGTCGGCTCCACTTTTTCGTATCATCGTTCCCAATTCCGCATAACAATACGCACCCACCTACAACAAAAAAATATAGATAAAATAATCTAAATAGATATATCAAAAAAGAAGAAATTCTAGAAGAGTTCTAAAGCATCTTACAATTAAAAAACTCTGGGATCGAGCAAACGTTGATTTGGATACTTAAGAAAGTACTGTAAGTCTATGGGGCATCTGTAAGGGTGGAAACGAAATTCTCTGTTAGCGCGCAATTCATGGGTGTGCTATAAATATTTTAAATGACAATACTTATACAAAAATACCAAATCAGTTTTAATTTTTTCAGCTTTTTTCCACGTAAATGAGACATAATCTTAAAAATTTAAAAATTAAGAAGAAAATCAGTAAAATTACGCAACTATTTTACTGATAATGACTGCACTGTTCTCCAAGCTCGGTCTACTACCGTTCACGGTTAAAAAAAACTTAGAGGAGTGTGTTTTGCGGTGACATACTCGTCCACACGGACTCACTACCGCGTTTATATAGGTAGCGATCTATAAAATATTTTGCTGTTTTTATTTGAATATGTTTTATAGTAAATTGATCATACTCCAATAATGTGTCCGCATTCTTGAAATTTCTTTCGTTAGATACATATCCAGTAGATGTATGGGGAAATTAGAATAACTTTCGTTGCAGATTATAATACGACCACCAGCAAACTCCATAAGACGACGCATGGTATCATTGATGACGTGCAACGAAAGTTGTTTTAATTTCCCTTTTAAATATGCTCACAACAGTGACCATGAAAATGTTTTAATGTGTCTGGGAGTTTTTTTACATGAGAAATTTGATTTTGATGTCAATATGACTCCTACTTGTAGAGGGGACCACCTACGTATTATTTTTTTAACTGGTTTGAAGAGTAATAAATTTTGTTCGTGCCTGTATAAAGCTATTGAGTAAAAATATATACATTTAAGACGTTTTTTACCTAAAAAAAGGTGGTAAAAATCGCTACGAGTAATGGTTCTCGAGATATTTGGAATCGAAACATAGATAAAAGAAAATAATCTACTATTAAGATAGATATGAAACTTAATAGTAAAATTTTGGGTCAAAGCGCCCCTCCGTGTTTTTAGTGGAGACTACGTTTAACCCAGCGCCTTCGCCTTTTCTGCTGTAAATGTTTTTTATGTTTATATTTGAATTCAAAGGATTTATTTTTAAAGTTATTTATTATTTATTCTACTACTGATAGTTGTATAAAGGTAGTAAATCTAGATGGAAATTGTGGCAGAACTTAAATTAACAGTGGCACTATCGCGATTTATCGAAAAAGACTCTAAAATAATTGGTTGTGTAGCGTGCGGTAGATCTCGGCAAAAATTGAGTGAAATAATGGAACAACTTTTCGCTAGTAAGTGACTATATAATATACATACGTGTAGTAAACCGATCATTTATGAAATTCACTTAAATTAACTAAATTATATATTTTTCTTGCATTTTAGCTTTTATTTATTACTTGTCAAAGATTAGATGTCAAAGAATTTAGATACGTTAATTTGACTTACCTGCTTCGGTAGCGTATCGGATGTTTGTGTTAATAAATACTTATTATAACTTATCTATTTTTATTAGAATTATATATTTTTATAACAATTTTAATAACTACCAACATTTATTCACAACGTAAAATAAAACAACAAATTATTGAGTCTACCCCACGTCTACTCTACATCATAGTTTTACATTTTTTAAATAAAATTAGAACGACACTGATAAACCGGAATTTAAGTCTGCCATATTTGAGACCCATCGCGGTGTACCTAAGATCTTTGATATGCTCCTTCCTTAGTCTTCTTATTCAAAGTTTTTACCTAAAAAAAGGTGGTAAAAATCGCTACGAGTAATGGTTCTCGAGATATTTGGAATCGAAATTATCAATACCTGTCAAAATGTTATGTCATCATTGACATAAATTAAACATGTTGACTAAATAGTAATTAGACTGAATTCATAAATTTTAAATGTTTTTGTGCCAAAAGTTTTATGATTAATATAAAAAAAATCCCAAATTTATTATTTCAGTCAAATAACTATCTACTAAGCGTGTTTTTTTGTCAATAAATGACATGTATTGACTATATATATAACTTGACTATAACTATATTGACTATATATATTAACTATATATTATAACTTTTTAAAACAGTTAAAACACATGTAGGTGGCGTCCCCTATAAACTAAAGTCATATTGATATCAAAATCAAATTACTCAAGTCAAAAAACTCCCAGACACCAATTTTTATCCAAATATTGACGATACTTCAGAAATTATTTGGAAAAAATCAAAATGAAAATGAAACTTCTACACCCTGTATCTCCGAAACTAAGCATTTTAGGACATACATTTATACGAACTTTTTTGCTTATTTTTTTCTGCAGAATAACCTGCAGAAACCTTTACAACCGAAGTTTCCGGAATACAGTTCTGACCACCCTGTATATGTAATAAAAATAAATCTGTTATTTTTTTTAAGAACAAAAGTTCAAATACGCTACTGAAACAGCTTATTTGAATTGATAAAATTGACGTGGTCTAATTTATTTATTTTTCAGTAAACAAATGGGAATATGGAAGAGTAAAATCATGATTACTTACTAGTGTAAAGTTGTTCCATTATATTTCATGTTTTTCTTTTTATTATGTTTGAAAGTATTAAATTATATTTATTGTTATATAAATACTACTACCTTTATCCTTATTAACCATCGTCGTTTGTAGCTATAAAAATAACAAATATTTACCTCTGTATTTTAATGTTCGGTTTCTGTAATTTCCATACTAAAATTGATCAAATATACATCGCCTGTCACGAAATGTTCAAGGCGGTGTGAAATTGATGGAAAATTGGATTTTTCCAATAAATATAAGTATGTATGTCTCTGAATAAACACACTCAATCACCAACAGGGCGCTTCAAAAAATGATGTTCTTTTATTTCCGGTATACTTATGTATATTTCTCCCGAATAAACAAAACACTTAATTTTTGATTCTATATTGTTTCTTTGGTTGTATCATAATTGCGTTTAGTATATTAATTTGCGTTAAAAGCAGAGATACTAGTGAAGCAAAAAAATTAAATGCATATATTTATAAGTAGGTGTTCATGTTGAACCGGCGGATAAACAGAAGAAAACTTCATTTTTGTCAAGAGAAATGTCAAAAACAACTGACAAAAATGATGTTTCGAAATGGCTACCTTCCGCCTTTATGTATGATTAAAAAAATTATATTGGAACCGTATATTTTTTTAATTTTTTCAGATAAAAAAAGGAGATTTAATATGTTAGTATATGATATTAATCACAATTGATTGACGTATTCAATTATTTTTAGTCACTTTCTCATGCACTATGAGTGCCACTACAATAAATATAACGACAATTTGACTCAAAATACCAAGGATGTTGTACCAAATTATTCGTAAAAAATGTTTTTTCTAAATATGCTAATGAGCCACCCTTGTTCTACTCAAAAAATTGACCGACTACTCAAAAAATTGATTGATTATGAGTGAAAATACCATTTGGGCATCATTTAACCGGGCAGGAAAAGACACGAAAAACATCAGACGATCAAATCTACTTTTCCAAAGCTGCTTGATTAAAAATTGGCGGTTTTAACACAGCCATGACACTCTAGATTGAAATTTAAAATACAATTTTTTTAAGAGAAAATGTCAAAAGTCATATAATTTGTCATTCTAATCAGAATGTCATTTTCTATAAAAAAAAATAACGACAGTTCCATTTAAAAATGAAAATTTATAGTCATCTCCGGTGAAATAGGAAGTGATCAAAACTAATCAATACGTCAGTCAATCGTGATTTATGTCATATACAGTATTGGCCCTAAGTGGATGAACTTTGTTAAAATAATGGGTTTTTCCTAATATGTTTAAAATTAAAATTTGAGCTATATTTACTTGAAGTCTAGTGTCAGTACTATAAAAATAAATAGCATTGTTTTTTTAAAATGTGCTTTAAAAAGGTAGCAAAAAATTTAAATTGAAAAAACTATTGGACAAAAGTAGATGAACAAAATATATATTTAATAAAAAAAAATCTTATGTTAACAAAAACTGAAAAATTAACTTATAATTTACTAGTACTTAGTGTAATAACCCTTATTCTTAATTACTTTCAGACATCGCTTAGGCATGGATCCCAGAAGATTTTCAATTATAGAAAAATCGATATTTTTCCAAGACTCTTCCAAAGCTGCAAATAATTCTTGTGTCCTAATGTGTTGATCCAAAATTTCCCATAAATTTTCTATTGGATTCAGGTCTGGGGATTGCGATGGCCATTTGAGAACAGTCACCATTTCATCTTCCAAAAACCTTTTGTGAGGCATATTTCGGGTCGTTATCATGTTGGAAGTAGTGTACAATTGGCATTTTTCCTCCAAATAAGGCACTAAAAGGTTTTGTAAAATGTCTCTGTAGCCAAACCGATCCATTATGCCCTCAATTTTATGGAGAGGCCCCATCCCATACCCAGAAAAACACCCTCATACCATGATTGAGCCCCCACCATGTTTTACAGTGGGTCGCGTGTACTTTGGTAGCAATCGTGTGTTGGGAGGTCTTCTTACATGTTGAATTCCATCTGATGACACCAAATTAAACTTTGATTCATCACTAAAACAAACTTTTTTCCATTGTGCCACAGTCCAGTTTTGATATTCCTTGGCAAATGCTAATCGGGCCTTCAAATTTTTTTTGATAGCAGTGGTTTCTTGACGGGTCTTCGGGAAAACAACTTCTGGTCAACTAATTTACGTCGAATCGTCCTTGTACTCACTGGTGGATAGCCCATTTCTTCAAGTTTTGCTTTTATCTTCGTTGACGGCAAAAATGGATCTTGTGAAGAAATTCGTTTTATGGCTTTTTTATCATATTGGGACCAACTTTTTTAGGTCGTCCTGGTTTTCTTTTTATAGAGACATCTCCTCTCTCATTATATCTCTTTAAAATATAATGTACCGCTGATTTTCC